TCCTATAAATAGGAGTTCTTTTCATTCATTGTGGTACTTGATTATTGATTAATAATATTATACTTTGAGAGTTCTTTTGAACCTTTGTTACTTATGCTTTGAGATTTATCTTTCAACCTTTACTAGTCCATAGTTCAAGGTAGTAAGATAACTTCTTTATTGTGATATCATTGATTCCTTTGTGGTATTCTTAGAAGACGATTAATACTAGTTATTAATTGTTGTCTCAAGTTACTCGTAAAGCGGTCAAGATCCGAATCTATTGTTTTTGATTTGTTCTTAAGTAAAGGCGTTTGATTTCTTCAATAAATCAAGACGTTGTTGCTTGGATCTTGTCAAGGCTATAGAACTTGCGTTCTTGGAAGTTCTTGGAATTCTTTCCCTGAATTTTCCCATATCATTTATTTTCTGCACTTTAATTCTAGTCGTTCAATTTCTTATTGTTATTGCTTTCGCATTTACTTCTTAAATTCTTACTCTAGTTTGGATTCCTGACCTTGCTGTTATCAAGTGGTATCAGAGCGATTCTATCAAGATTTCGTTCTTGATAATTCTTTGGATTTATTGAATACTAAGAGCAAAAAAAAACGTTACTGTAGCATCGTGAATAGTAACTTGAAAAAAAAAGTTTAAAAAAAAAGCAAAAAAAAAAAAAAAAAACAAAAATCAGTTAAAAAGAAAAAGAAAAGAAAAGAATTGCTTGCTCTCCAAGAAATTTCTTTTGTATTTAATTTGTTTCCAAAAATTAACAAAGGAAACAAGAAGAGGGGATCCTAGATTTCAAAGATAAGAAAAAAATTCAATTTTTCTTATTCTTTCTGATCTAAATATACCTTTCCTTTTTTTTTCCGTGTCTTGTTTCAACTAAGCCTACTAGTTCTAGGATTTGGTTCTTCTTTCATTCGTTCCCCAAAAATCTATATTTTACTACTAAGAACTTCATACGAGTTGGGTTTAATTCTAAATCTACAAAGTATTTTGTTCAAAGGTTATTTCGAGAAGAAAAAGGCAAGTGTGTGTGAGAACAATTGAGGGAAAAGCCAATTTGTGGGATACAATTTAATTATTTTTTTTAAGATGTCGCGTACAGGTAGTGATGATGAACAAAGGGCTCTCCAAGAAGCCGAAATCAAAGCAAGAAATGATTTTACCTTGCAAGCTATGCATCACCAATTCGAAAGGTGGAATTTGCAATTCCAAGAAATAAGGAACACCATTGCTGAGCAAAATGATACAATAGCGGAACTTAGGAGGGGAAATAATGTTAGGCCCCAAGCTAGGGAAATGTACCCCTTGCTCCCATTGTAAATCAAGAAAACCCTATAGATGACTTTAATGATATTAATTTTGATAGGGTGGGAAGAGATAGAAGGGGACAAAGAGGTAGAGTAGAAGATGACAATAATAAGTAGTATAAAGATGAAGATGCCATCTTTCAAGGGAACAAGGGATCCAGACTTGTATCTTGATTGGGAGAGAAAGATTGAGCCATCTTTGACTGTCACAACTACTCTAAAGGTAAGAAGGTTAAACTTGTTGTTGTTGAGTTTTCTGACTATGCTGCTATTTGGTGGAAAAAGCTTACTAGGGATAGATTGCAAGAAGGACAAGCACCAATTGCTTCTTGGGCTGAGATGAAGAGGGTGATGAGGAAGAGATTTGTGCCATCACACTTTCAAAGAGAGCTACAACAACGTCTTCAAACATTGAAGCAAGGGTCCATGTCTGTGGATGAATACTTTAAGGCTATGGATATGGCTATGATCCAAGCTAACTGTATGGAGGAAGAAGAGGCTACAATGGCTAGGTTTTTAAATGGTTTAAATAAGGAAATAACTGATGTAGTAGAATTACAACAATATGTAACAATAGATGAGTTAGTTGATTTGTCTGTAAAGGTAGAAAAGCAAAATAAAAGAAAGCAAACTAGCTCGTGGAAAGGTAGGTCAAACACCATCTCCAAGAAGCCATGGCCGAATCAAGAGATGCAGAGTTCTTCTAGACCTCAAGAAGACAAGGGTAAAGGAAAATTTGAGAACAAAGAGGGAGGTAAAACCTTTAACCCTAAACCTTCTACACCTTCTAGTTCTATTAGTGTTATAAATGTAAAGGAAGGGGACATATGATTCTTGAATGTCCAAGAAGAAGAAACGTCATTCTTAGAGAAGGTGGGGGATATGAGATTGAAAAAAGTGAGGGAGAAGAAGAAAAGGGAGATGTGAGTGATGAAGACGATGTAGAACTGCCTCATACTGGTATGATTGTGGTGGCTGGGAAGATTATGAGTGGAGAATACGATAGTAATAAATGTGAGGAAGAGGAGAGAGGTGTGAGTAAAGATGAAGATAAAGTAGAACTACCTTTTAATGATGGCATGATTGGGGTAGTTAGGAGGATTATGACTATCAATTTGGGAAGCAATAGTGAAGAACAAAGGGAGAATATATTTCATACTAGCTGTGGGATAAAGGGGAAAACATGTTCTATGATCATTGATAGTGGTAGTTGTGCTAATATGGTAAGTTCATACTTTGTGGAAAAACTGGGACTTGCATGCATGTAACACCCTACTCCCTATAGACTGCAATGGTTAAATGATAGTGGTGAACTAAAAGCAAACAAACAATGCATGATTTCATTCAATGTTGGTAGATATGAGGATGATATTCTTTGTGACATAATCCCTATGCAAGCTTGTCATATCTTACTAGGTCGTCCTTGGCAGTATGATAGGAATGTTTTTCATGATGGAAGGAAGAATAGGTATTCTCTTGAGCTTAATGGCAGGAAATTTACTCTTGCACCTTTATCTCCTTCTCAAGTGTTTGAAGATCATAAGAGATTAAGGGAAACGATGGGAAAACCAAGGGGAGGGATAAAAAGTGAGCTTGAGGGAAAAGAAAAGAAAGGAGGCCAAGAGTTAGAAAAAAAGAGAGATGGCCGAGAGAAAGAGAGAGAGGGTAGCAATTTGAGAGAAGAGATAAAAAGGGGTTTGAGTGAAAAAATAGAAGGTCTTGGTGAGGGGAAAGAGGCTAAGGAAAGGAAAAAAGAGAGTTTCTATATAAAAGCCAAAGAGTGTTTAAATGCAAGAAAAGAGGGGTTGCCCATAATACTACTTACTTACAAAAAAGCTTTGATTAATTCTGAGTTACTAACTTCTTCTTTGCCAAGTAGTATTTCTTCTCTTTTGCAGGATTTTGAAGATGTCTTTCCTGAAGATATTCCTAATGGATTGCCACCTTTACGTGGCATTGAGCATCAAATTGATTTTGTGCCTGGATCACAAATCCCAAATAGGCCTGCTTATAGGAGTAATCCAGAAGAGACAAAAGAGCTTCAAAGGCAAGTTGAGGAGTTGCTTGAGAAAGGCTTTGTGAGAGAGAGCATGAGCCCTTGTTCTATTCTCGTCCTATTGGTACCCAAAAAGGATGGAACTTGGAGGATGTGCGTGGATTGTAGAGCAATCAACAAGATAACGGTAAAGTATCGCCATCCTATTCCTCGTCTTGATGACATATTGGATCAATTACATGGATCCAAAATCTTTTCTAAAATTGATTTAAAAAGTGGTTACCATCAGATTCGAATGAATCCCGGAGATGAATGGAAAACTGCTTTTAAGACCAAATATGGGCTTTATTAGTGGTTAGTTATGCCTTTTGGCTTGACTAATCCACCTAGCACTTTCATGAGATTAATGAATCGTATCTTTAAGGATTTTAATGGGAAATTTGTTGTGGTGTACTTTGATGATATCTTGATCTTTTCTAAAACTTTAGAGGAGCATGTAGAACACCTAAAACAAGTTTTTGAAGTTCTTAGAAAGCAACTTTTATTTGCTAATCTTAAAAAGTATACTTTTTGTGTGGATTGTGTGATTTTCTTGGGTTTTGTAGTTAGTTCTAAAGGAGTTGAGGTTGATGAAGAGAAAATCAAAGCAATAAAGGAATGGCCTAAACCTAAGAGTGTAACTAAAGTTAGGAGTTTTCATGGACTTGCTAGTTTTTATAGGAGGTTTGTGAGAGACTTTAGCACCATTGCTTCTCCTTTAACTGAAGTTATTAAAAAGGATAAGATTTTTACATGGGGAAAAGAACAAGATGATGCTTTTAACTTGTTGAAAGAAAAGTTATGTTCTGCTCCTTTGTTACAATTGCCTGATTTCTCTAAATCTTTTGAAATTGAATGTGATGCTTCTGGCAAAGGAATAGGTGCTGTTTTGATGCAAGATTCTAAACCTATTGCCTACTTTAGTGAGAAGTTGAGTGGAGCCACATTGAACTATCCCACTTATGAAAAAATAGCTATATGCTTTGGTAAGGGCTTTAGCCACATGGCAACATTACTTGTGGCCAAGAGAGTTTGTCTTTAGAGCGGACCATGAATCCTTGAAGTACTTGAAAAGTCAAGGTAAGCTTAGTAGGAGGCATGCTAAGTGGGTTGAATTCATTGAAACTTTTCCTTATCTAATTTCTTACAAACAATGGAAAGAGAATGTTGTTGCTGATGCACTTTCAAGAAGGTATGTCTTAGTTGCTACTCTGACTTCTAAATTGATGGGTTTTGATCAAATCAAGGGACATTACTTGATTTTGGCAAGATTTTTGCAGATTGTAAGTTGGGTCCTTTTGAGAGGTTTAATCTTCAAGATGGGTTTCTTTTTAAGGAAAATAAGTTGTGTATTCCTAAATGCTCTTTACGTGAAGAAAATTTGTAAGGGAAGCACATTGTGGAGGCCTTATGGGTCACTTTGGAGTCCCAAAGACACTAGACATACTTGCTGAAAATTTCTTTTGGCCTGGCATGAGAAAAGATGTTGAAAGAGTGTGTGCACAATGCTTGGAATGTAAACAAGCTAAATATAAAGTGTTACCACATGATCTTTACACGCCATTACCTGTTCCTACTTCACCTTGGATTGATATTTCTATGGATTTTGTGTTAGGTTTGCCTAGAACAAGGTATGGTAAGGATAGTATATTTGTTGTGGTAGATAGATTCTCCAAAATGGCTCGTTTTATTCCTTGTTTAAAGACTAATGATGCTTCACATGTTGCTGATCTATTTCTAATAGAAGTTGTTAAATTGCATCGTATACCTAGAACTATTGTTAGTGATAGGGATGCTAAGTTTTTGAGCCACTTTTGGCGTGTATTTTGGGGGAAGTTAGGCACTAAATTGTTGTTTTCTACTTCTTGTCATCCACAAACTGATGGACAAACTGAAGTAGTTAATAGAACCTTAGGAAACATTTTGAGGGCTGTTTTGAAAGGTAAATTAACTTCTTGGGAAGATCACTTACCTATGATTGAATTTGCTTACAATAGAACAATCCATTCTTCTACAGGTATGTCTCCTTTTGAGGTTGTTTATGGTTTTAATCCCTTTACTCCCCTTGATTTATTACCATTACCTACTAATGATATTGCTAATCTTGATGGTAGGACAAAGGCTGAAATGATGAAAAAAAATCATGAGCAAACAAGGCTTGCAAATAAGAAGAAAAATGAGCAAACTGCCTTGAGAAAGATTAAGGGTCGAAAACAAGTTGTTTTCAACCTGGAGATTTAGTTTGGGTTCACTTTAGGAAGGAGAGATTTCCTTCCAAAAGGAAGTCAAAGTTGCATCCTAGAGGAGATGGCCCATTTTAAGTCCTTGAAAGGATTGGAGACAATGCTTACAAGCTGGACCTTCCTGGTGAGATTCAAGTAAGTGCTACATCTAATGTTGCTGACTTGTCTTTGTTTGATGTAGGATCGAATCCGGGGACTAATTCTTTTCAAGAAGAGGGGAATGATAGCATCAAGGACAATGATAGAGTTTTGGAAGCTCCAAGAAGGCCATTTACAAGATCTCAAGCTAAAGAATTGCAGACTAAGGTTGCTGAACTTTAATGGCAAATAAAAAAGCTTTTAATTGTAGAGGAAGAGCTCAAGCCCAAAGGGGATGAATTATCCAAGTTTTACAATTATTTGGTGGCCAAATTGAAGTCCAAGAGGAGGAAGATTGGGTCCCAACATTAGCCCTTGAAGTCCACCAAAAGGACACCCAAAAGAGCTTAAAATGAGCTTAAAAGAGGTCCAAAGGGGGTGTTTCAAAAGGAGTCCAAACCAATGACCCAAACTAGTAGTTTTAAGGCCCAAATCTGCCCCTAAGGGTTTTGGCCGCCCACCCTCCTATTTTTATTAGCTTTTATTAGGTTTTGTAGTATTTAGCTTAGCCTCCAAGTTAGGGTTTGCCTTGGCATCCACCCTACCTAGTTTTAAGGATTTTTACCTCCTATAAATAGGAGTTCTTTTCATTCATTGTGGTACTTGATTATTGATTAATAATATTATACTTTGAGAGTTCTTTTGAACCTTTATTACTTATGCTTTGAGATTTATCTTTCAACCTTTACTAGTTCATAGTTCAAGGTAGTAAGATAACTTCTTTATTGTGATATCATTGACTCCTTTGTGGTATTCTTAGAAGGCGATTAATACTAGTTATTAATTATTGTCTCAAGTTACTCGTAAAGCTGTCAAGATCCGAATCTATTTTTTTTGATTTGTTCTTAAGTAAAGGCGTTTGATTTCTTTAATAAATCAAAACGTTGTTGCTTGGATCTTGTCAAGGCTATAGAACTTGCGTTCTTGGAAGTTCTTGGAATTCTTTCCCTGAATTTTCCCATATCATTTATTTTCTGCACTTTAATTCTAGTCGTTCAATTTCTTATTGTTATTGCTTCCGCATTTACTTCTTAAATTCTTACTCTAGTTTGGATTCCTGACCTTGCTGTTATCAACTCCTTTTCTCTGCTGGTGCCTCAGTCTGCTTGTTAACCACCTCAGGTCTAGCCTTCACCACTGGGTCACTCAATGCTTTGCCACTTCTCAGAGATACAACCTTGATTATTTCCTTTGGGTTCTTTTCAGCGTCATCCCAGGAGCCCTCTCAGATAACAAATTTGCAATCTGTCCCATTTGTCTTTCTAAATTCGGATAGCCATGCCTTGAGTCTCGAATTTTTCATCTGTTTTGTTGATGAATGACTTCATGAGATCTTCCATATTTGACTGATTTGGCTGTGGTGGCTGGTATTGCTGCCTCTGCTGGTTCTGAAAACGTAGTGGTCCCTGACCATGGGGTCTGAGATTATTTTGCTGCCATGAGTTCAAGCTCCCATTAGGTGAACTCCACGAAAAACCTGGATGTCTTTGAACTATAGAATTAAAGTTGTTCCCACCTTGGTATCTTCCTCTATTAAAGTTCCCCACAGTGTTGACTTCATTAGCTATAGCTTGACACTCATGTGAAGGGTGTCCCAGCCCACAGATGTCACAACCCACCCGTGGTTGATTTTGCACCGGAGCCATCGTTAATTGCTTGATGTCCTTAGCCATGGCTACAACTTGGGCATGCGTTGCTACCGACAATTCTACTTAGTACACCCTTGCTGATCTTTTTCGATTCTACTTGGAGCACCCCTGCTGATCTTCTTCGATCCCCTTGGTCTGTGGACCATTGATCTGCAGCTTCAAATAGTTCATTCAAAAGAGTGACGATCTCTTCCAGAGTTTTCTTCATCAGAGGACTTGCAACTGCACTATTAAGCAATCTCCTTGATGACGGGTTTAACCCATCCCAAAAGTCCTGAAGTTGCATCTATTGCTCCATTCCGTTGTGAGGGAGCCTCCTCAACATCTCCTTAAATCTTTCCCATGCCTCAAACATTGTCTCACCTTCACCTTGGATGAAATTGTGAATCCCCTTCCTCATCCTCCCAGTCTTAGCAACCGAGAAGTATTTTTCCAAAAACTTGGTAGTCATCTCCTCCCACGTATGAATTAACCCTATGGGCAGACTTCTCAACCACTGCTTTGCATTATCCTTCAGTGAGAACGAGATTCTCTGAGGTATATAACATCATGTGATGATCCATTGTAGTGGAATTGTTCATAATTTCATCAAAGTCCATCAGATGGTTGTTGGGATCTTCATTGGGTTTGCCTCTGAATATGCAATTGTTCTGAATGGTCGAGATAACTCCCTGTTTGAGTTCAAAATTGTTGGCATCGATGGGCGTGGGCCTCATACTAGACTGTTGTTGGTTGTACACCGGTCTTGCATAATCTCCCAGTGATCTCCCAGGCCTAGGAACTGCATTTTCAAATGCATCCTCAATAATTCAGTTGGGATTGAGTAACCGATCCCCAACAACAATCCACTCGATCCTTTCTTTCTTTTCAACTGCCTCAGGTGCTTGTCTAACTCTAGGTTGTATGGCACCAAGTCCTTTGAAGAGGATCGAGTCATATACTACTAAACTTAACCTATTACCTGCACACACAGATGAGAAGAGCGTAAAAAAAGAAAAAAAATAAAGCTGTTCCTGAATTAGCACTAATAATTAATTTAAACACTATTAATCGCAAATCTTCGGCAACGGCGCCAAAATTTGACGAGCGCAAAACCGGTGTGTAAAACGTAGGCTAGCTAGTCAAAGATAGTATATCATTAAATCGTCTCCACAGGGATTGGTTTCAATAATGTTCTAATAAATCTCCAGCTCAATACTATCCAGTATAATAAACCTTTTGATTGATGTTATTATTAACTACAAATAAAACTAAGATTATCAATTGTAAGAAACTAATGATACCCTAATGATTAGTAACAACGATGGAATATCTGTGCGAGAAGTAAGGGTTGTGACAAGATATGTGATCAACTATTATTCCAGGTAACTCTGTGTTAAATTCATTCTTAACTTCTATTGATTCCTTCAATTTCAATATATGATTAAGCTACTTCACGGATTCAAATTCTTCTTCCGAATAAAAGTGAATCCTTTAATTAGCCTAATAACAGGCCTATGAACATATGCACTAAAGTAGTGAATGAATGCTCTTTCGAAGAACACCTCTCGATTATTCTTCTGAACTGGGTTAATTGATAACACGGTAAACATATTCGATTACCTAAAAGAGGCATAAAATCAACCCAAATAAGATGGCACAACGCAAATCGCAACAACACTTCTCTTTCGATTAAAGTAAGACCACAATGAGCTTTGCAATTCAATTAATAACACATTCACTAAATTCGGGCACTTAAGATAGAATAAAACCCAAAACGATAGTCAATTCACAACATCCGTCAATAACCCTAAGGAGTACTACTACGTAACGGAGAAAATATTCATGGCAAGAGTATTAGAAGAACAAGAAGAAATTACAATTTCCAAATTCAAACAAACTTCCGTATTGAGTGAATTGGATCAAGTATTTTGCTTTTCCATTGCTTCCTTCCTTCTTCCTCTCACAAAAGTTGCTCTAAAAATCCAAGATACCCTCTTTTTAGACGAGCTGGGCTTCACATAGGTCAAGGGAAGTCGCCTCCGAAATTATCAAAATAGGCTTGGGAAAATCTTCTATAACAGACGTGCGCGGCCGCTCACCTGGGCAGGTGACCGCGCATATGGCCGCACACTTTGGTTAGTATTCTGCTTATCATGCGCGCCCAGTGCGCGGCCGCGCACCTGGGTGGTCTCGTGCTCACTTCTTTGTTCTTTTTGTTGAGTGCGCTATTATCCGTTGATCCTCGAACACAATCCCAACTTACTACATGGGCTTTTACTCAGACTTCAAAGCTCCATAGTAGCTTGAATAAGCTCCATAACCTCATTGTAACTCGGAATCGCTCCTGTGCAGCATAAAGTACACATTCGGTGCAAATTAATACCATTTAAAGTTCAAACATTAGTAAAGTGCAGCGAATTAGAGCACAATTAGTGGCCAAAATACACAATTATAGCATACCATCATCAGCCCTATGCCATCCCAGGACTCACTAAATAACAATATTCTCAGCTGATGATGCTGCTTCAACACTCACAAATCTCTGCTTCCAATTCTGCTACATCTCAGGAACTCATAGGTTCTGCCAATTTTACTGGTAGGCTCCTTATAAAGGGGTTTCCTACGGGGCTTGTATGTTGTCTAAAGTTAATGGGATTGTCTGGATATTTGGTTCTGGAGCTACAGACCATATGACCTATATTAAAAGCCTGCTCTTTGACATTCAAACATTTCCTGTCCCTTATCTTGTTTCCTTACCAAATAGATATAAGGTCAAAGTTACTAATGTTGGTTCCTTAGCCCTATTTCCTGATCTAATTCTCCACAATGATCTTTATATTCCTATTTTCAACACAATCTCGTCTAAGTCTACAAGTTTTTGTCTCATTGTGATGATGTTGTTTAATTTACTAAGTATGTTTGTACTCTACAGGGCCCTTCAGTGAAGAAGCCGGTGGTTCTTAGTAGATTGGACAATGGCCTCTACAAGTTGTTTCAACAAGCCAATTCTCCACCTTCTACTATTTATGCTTCCTTTAATTCTTGCTTTTTCACTTCTTCTTTTGTTCCTGCAGTTTCTATTAATGTTAATGTTGTTAGTACAATTGTAAATACCACTGATGTTTCTTGTAAAGTGAATAAAGATGAAATTGTGTGGCATTATAGACTTGGACACATTCCCTTTTCAGAATTGAGACTTATTTATGCTATTACTTATAAATTTTCTCCTAAACAATCCTTCACCTACCCAGTGTGTCCTCTAGAAAGACAGGCCAGATTACCTTTCCCTGATAGCTCCATTCAGTCTACTCATCCTTTCCAACTTATACACATTGATACTTGGGGACCCTACCTTACACCAACCTACACTGACTCCAAGTACTTTTTGATAATAGTTGATGACTACTCTAGGGCAACCTGGACATATTTCTTGGGATCCAAAAGTAATGCCTTTGACATGTTATAAGCCTTTATTTCTATGGTTGAAACACAATTCATTCTAAAGTTCAAACAGTTAGGAGTGATAATGCTTTCGAATTGGGTGTGAGTTCT